TTTATGTATTCATGTGCTATTGGTCTTTATACATGTAAAACGCACAAGTTGTAACAAGCCAGCAGCAGACTTGTAGCAATGCTGTTCCAACAACTTGTCAACAGGATGTGTTCGCACTGCTTGTCCCCAGCTTGTTGACAAGTTGTCAACGGCTTGTTGACAACTTGCTACAAGGTTGTTGAGCACAACAGACGTGTTACAAGTTGTTCCGACAACTTGTTATCGTCCTGCAATTCAACAATTTGTCAACAAGTTGCGAGTGACAACCTTGTAGCAACTTGATGAAATAACAGCATTGTCACAACTTGTTGACAAGCTCGCTACAAGCCTGTTGCGAACACATCTTGTTGACATGTTGTGACTTGTAGCAAGTTGATGAAATAACAACATTGTCACAACTTGTTGACAAGCTCGCTACAAGCCTGTTGAGAACACATCTTGTTGACATGTTGTGACTTGTAGCAAGTTGATGAAATAACAACATTGTCACAACTTGTGGACAAGCTCGCTACAAGCCTGTTGCGAACACATCTTGTTGACATGTTGTGACTTGTAGCAAGTTGATGAAATAACAACATTGTCACAACTTGTTGACAAGCTTGCTACAAGCCTGTTGCAAACACATCTTGTTGACATGTTGTGACTTGTAGCAACTTGATGAAATAACAACATTGTCACAACTTGTTGACAAGCTTGCTACAAGCCTGTTGCGAACACATCTTGTTGACATGTTGTGACTTGTAGCAAGTTGATGAAATAACAACATTGTCACAACTTGTTGACAAGCTTGCTACAAGCCTGTTGCGAACACATCTTGTTGACATGTTGTGACTTGTAGCAAGTTGATGAAATAACAACATTGTCACAACTTGTTGACAAGCTTGCTACAAGCCTGTTGCAAACACATCTTGTTGACATGTTGTGAGATTTTTACGTGTGTAGTACATGTTGCAAGCTTGGATATGTAATCAGTAAAGATTCTTCCTCAATTTTGCACCAAGTGGTTGCACTTGCATTTTATATGCTAGAGTCAGTATTTGTCTGTCAGTTTTATATGCTAGAGTCTAGTTTCATGAAATATTTTGAAACATCTCTTGGAATACAATGCCAAAAAAGTCCTCCCCCCGCATTGCGAGACACGTTGCATGAAAAATTACAACATGTAACAGCAGCTTCATTGACAAATGTTCAGACTCGTTATTTATGATTGTCTTCTTTCTGTAGATAGCATTGATGATGAAAGTATGGAAGGACCGACTGAGGTCATCATTCCTGAACCGTAAGTATCTTGCTACTGTATATTGAGTCCAACTTGTTGGTAGGCTGAGGTGGTTAATCAATGTTGTTCTAGGCAAAAAAAAAGACTGTTTGAAACTCTGTAATATTGAAGCAAAATGGCCGTAATTCCACAGATTTATGCAGAATTGCAAAACATTGAAGACAAGACGGTTACAACCTTCGTAGCTACAGTGATATTTTGTTTTATTGATAGTAAAATCAACATCGGTTCAGGATTTCAAGCAGAAGTGCCATCAACTACAGAACTTCGTCAGACCGCCGTGTATGATAAACATCGAGCTGCAGTCTGTTGGATTCCTTTTGAACATGAGACGAGAAAACGAGCGCAAGAAAGTTAGTATTTGACAGCTTATTTACAACAAACTTTGCTTATACTGGATAGCTCTGTCAGAGCTGTACTCGGTTTCAGAGCAAAATATAGGACCTGATTGGAAAAACGTTGTAATTTTATCTGTTTATCCTCAATAAATAAAGTGTTATTATTATTATAATAGGTTAACATTTTATATTGTTTCTCTTCATAGTTGAAGCATTTCTTGACATGGCATGTTCTGTTGCTGTGTTTGGTGGTGGATCTAACAAGGAATATGCATTACATGTTCTGTACAGACTGAAAGGAAACATCAAGGTAATGGAAAATGAAGCAGTAAAAAAGAAGATATCAGTCAAGAGCAGATCTAGCCTTGTTTGCAAGGAGGGGTGTAGATTTTCCATGGGGTGGTGCATGGGGGAGCCTTACTGCCCACTCTCCTCTGCAGTCTGCAATGCTACTAGGGACATTACCATTTTTTGAGATGGCCAAATCTGCATATTCGCCATTCTGTTGCGTTTACATTAGCTTTTGTTCCATGAAGTTTATATCACTTTTTATCATGTATGCATGATTGGACAGTTGCTGTAGCACAGTACAGTAAATGCAGTTGTTAAAGTACAGTATATTTGAAAATATGGGTGTATAACAACCTTGATTTGTTTACATATTTAACCGTGATATTTAATTAACTAAAGCATTCGGAGTATTTTCTTGTGAGCTCACAAATCAATTAAATCATTTCAAGAAATCGACATGTGCTACCAGTAGAAATTCTGTTAATCACTGTTTGAAAAGGAGAAAATGTATGGTCAAGCAGATTTTTGGGGGTTGTGCTGAACTTCT